CCCCCCCCCCCCCCCCCCCCCGTAAGTGAGCAGTTTCTCCTTACCTACTAATGTTGTACTCTATCTTTGCAGACTGCCGTTGATGTTTTTAAGAGGATAATTTTGGAGGCAGAAAAAATTGATGGGGCAGCTTCACAAGGGAAGTCTTCATGCTCAGTAATGTAATTCCACTGCAAAACCTGAAAACACTGGGAATACATTCTACCTGAAGAAGCAAAACTGCCCACTATCTTTAAGGATAAACTATGCTTCTTTTTTTTATTTTTTTTTTCTTCTGTTAACCTGAAAGATAAACAGTTGGTTTGGAGCCTTTCCCTTCAGATTATGTTAAACTCTGACTCCTGTGCAAATGGCTTCACTTCCATTTTCAAATTTTAAGCAATCATATTTTCAATTTATATATTGTATTTCTTAATATTATGACCAAGAATTTTACTGGCATTAATTTTTCAGTGTAGTTTGTTGGTTAGAATAATCATCAAAATGATGCATATTGTTACACTACTATTAACTAGGCTTGGATATCAGTGTTTCTTTGTGTTAAATGTATACTTGTAAATAAAATAGCTGCAAACCTTAAATGCTCTGTTTATAATTTTTTGTTGATTATTCCATATCAACTTTTTTTGTCTGAAAAACATTCACCTGCTGACCTTAAGAGGAGGCGTGAGATCCTTGGAACCAGTGGATTGATTGATGATTGCTTGGGAAGTCGTTTGGGAACGATCCGAACCATTTTTGCTACCAGAACTCCAGGCTGCCGAGTAGCTCAGCTGTGCTTTGTGCCTGTTCGTGGGAAGGAGACACAAGTGACACCTTTTGATTTGGAAGGGAAGGCTTGGGTTTTCAGTCAGACAGTCTGCACTGTATTTTTCCTCTGTAGCTAAGAGTTATGGAGTAAAGGGTACGCAGATCTGTCCCAAGAACGGGCCGCTATACCCCTGTGCCACAGACGGTTCACATGGACTTGTAACCAGGAACACTGTCAGGATGGAGTGGATTTATCCAGGTCACAAGCGTAATCTTGCTAAGAAAACAAAAATGTTACTTAAAATAAATTGCACGTCCTGAACAAATTGATGTGACTTGTTTATCATGCATTTTTGTACTTCTACATGTGGATAGCGCTGGAAGAGGTGAGTGGTCTCCTGGCACCTGGCCCTTCACAGTGTCAGAGTCCCAGCGCAGCTCTGGGCAGCTTCCCCTGACCAGTCACAAGCTTTTGCTTGGCTTTTGGACTAGAGGCTTAACAAGCCTTAATCTCTTAAGTCTGGAAACAAACTTCTTCAACTGTATATTTGAAAAAATGTGTCGTTAACTGACTTGGTATTTAAAAACAAAACAAAACCCAAAACAACACAAAGAAAGGAGGCTGATTTGGGGAACAGTTAATTAAATGAAATGTTTCTCATGCATTTTTGTGTCAATTGGAAAACTTAATTTCCAGCAGGAATAAAATGGAAGGGAAGCTTGCAACCAGAATTAGCTTTTGCATTTCAGTCTGTGCTAAAAGATACAAATTCAGCATGTCTCTTCAGTTCTTTTACAGTGCTTCCCTCTTACAGAAAATGGTCTAAATCAGTTAACAGTGTACGTGAATTACTCTTTTCTTTGGTCACTGTGAGATTAAGTGGTTTCCTTGTAAAAGTTTATTCTTCACTTAAGATATTTCCTAGAGGTTTTGAAAGCTCATTTCTGTTACCTGAATTTTCATACCCTGTGCCAAACATGGGTTCTGTAGCAGGATGATTGTCACGCACAATAGGTTGCTGAAGTTCAGCAAAGTCAGAGTGCTCATTTAGGGAAGGTGTACACTCTTTGATTTCAGAACCAGACTGATGTGGGGCTGTGTGGTAGGTTTCCTTCACAAGAACCTCCAACACTGGAACAAGGGTAGTTTGATAATGAAGATGCTGAGGCTTCAGATGATCTGTGCAACACTGGAACAATATGCATCTGTTTAGTAGCATCTTTCATTGCCCAATCATGAGGCAATAGATGACTACTGCATGACTGGAGTCTGTGGCATTGCATTATGGAAACAATGTCATGTGGTCTACATCACATGGTACAAGTTCTGGAATACCAGAACCCTCAATGATGACATTTACTCTTTTTTTTTTTTTTTTTTTTTTTTTTGATAAAATAGCAGCCAGGTGTGTACTGGTGATCAATCTAAAGCCTGAACTAGCTCTGTATTGATGCCTGAGGTGTGCCAGCTGCTGCAGCTTAAAAGGGAATAGATGAAGAAGTGTGCAACTTCCTAGTCCTGGGATAATCAAGGCCCTACCTTCCAGGGGTTGAGGTTTTTCAGGAGGACTGAAAGGCAAGTGCAGGTTCTCCAGATGATTTGCAGTGGGAACTTTCATGACTTCATGTACTGAGCACTGAGAAGCATGTACTGCTCCTATATTTTCTGTACTAGCTGAAGAATTTAATTCAACATATGTTGTTTCTCCTGTTGCTGGCTCATTCTGTAAGAAATGTAAATCATTCCACTTGTCCAAGCCTTTCTCTGCTAATGAGATCTAAAGATCAGCCATGTGCAATAGTCTTGCAGTTTTAATGAAATGTGTAGTCAAGCATGATCAGTGAACTACTTGTCCTCTGCTGTACAGAGATTTCAGCAGGCTTCTCAGGATGGCATCTTCTAGCAGTTGGAGTCTAATAGAGGATGGGGCAGCTTCGTGCTTCTTTATACAGACTTGTAAGGACTTAAGAGCTGGCATGAGTTGGGTTCTTCTTCATGAGCCCTAAAACGGGGTGGTGGGCAATTTTGGAAGCCCTATGTTAGATACAGAGGCAAGAAATGAGTATCTAGTAAACTACTACTTGCCTAGAATTGATGAATTTCTACAGCTTTGTCTGGTAGCTGCCCTGATCCTTTGGAGGCTTCTGGAGGATTGTGATAAATGGTGCATGGATTAAGACTTAAGTCATGAAGGAAGTAAGTTCTCTGGCCTAGGCTAGAAAAAAATTGATATACACTTAATAGGGCTCAGCCTTAAGGGATGATCACTGGCAAACGTGAAAGTGCAAAGATCCTCTTGTTGAGGAAACAAGCAGAATTTAACTATGGTTAAGTCAAGTTAAATTCCCATTGACTTGAGTGGATTTAAAATGTGCTGTTCTGGAAACGATGCCTGCCCTGCTTGTGCTCTCCAACTGCTTGCTTTGCTGCATGAATACTGAGAAACCTCTCGGCATCCTGAGCCCAAGAGTGTGAACTGCGCATCTCCTAATCTGCCCTGTGTGGAAATGCTGGAGATGAGGAAGGTGGTGGGGCTGGTGCAGCTTAGCAAGTGGAGAATGGACTGCAGGAAGAAAGGGGATACATGGTCCTTCATCTTCCTGTTCTTGTTTCTGTGCATAGCAGAGTTTATCCCTGCGTGCTTAACTCCACAACAGGGAAGGCTTGGAGGCAGTCTGCTTCCCAGCTTGTGTAAAGTGTTAGTGAATGCACACTGGAGAAGAAAAGAGCTGGAAAAGTGTTTTTATTGCTCCCTTGTGTCTGCAGTAGCTGTACTGTAGTATCTGGACCAGGCAGCCTTACGTCTTTCCTCAACCGAGGGCAGAAGAGCCTCGGGTGAAATCGGACTTTGCTGAGGAAGTTCCTGCAGCGTTGGAGGCAATGGTGAAGACTTCAGGCTTTCCATTTTCTAGCTTCTTTGAAGAGAGATGTTTCTATGTCCGAACTTGCACTCTCAAAGTGATCAAGGACAAACTTTGCCGTTGCCCTTGTTTCTGGCACAGGTGAGTGTAGAACATCCAGCTGGGTCGACCCCAGCTTACAGCAGTTTCCTTTGAAGTGCAAGATGGTCAGCACCCTGAAATGAGATGTAGCCAACATCACGGTGCGTATTTTTGTGTTTTCACCTTCTTTAAAAGAAATGTGCAATCTTAACACATTTGGTGCTAAAACTGTGCTGCTGCTCTGTGCAGATGTCACAGGCTGCTGCGTGGTATGAGGGTGGTGCAGGTGATAATGCTTGCTGGGCTTCTGCTCATTAGTACTGTTGTGCTGCAGCTCCTCGAGGAGAAATCAACAGGTTCTAATTAGTCCTTATGCAGTGAGTACTGCTTATCTTCAGAGTATTTCACTAATACTGACTAATCTTCACAACTGCATCTAATAAGGTCAAAATTACTCCCCTTTGACAGCTGGGGAGGGGGAGTGAGAACCTTTGCACAGATGCCTTCAACTCATTATGGGCACAGACGAAATGTGGCTAAACTAGGTCTGGGTGATGAGTGTTCGCAGCATCCAGCTTTTTCTTAGGCATCCTGTTTCCCTACTGGAACCTTTCCTTTTTGAAATAAGATGAAAACTGAAAAGACCACCCAAAACCCCAGGCTTTCTGATGTTTTCCAAAATTAAATCCAAATCCCATCTCAGTCAGATGCTTACTGAGATGTATGATGAGCTGCACTAATGCTGATCTCTAGACAGAATATTACTGAAAATAAGCTTTTGCAGATTTTTTTTCCAATGTCCATCTCTGTAATGCTGCTAATAAATATTTGGCTAAAGCTGACCAGCAGGTCCCAACTCCAAGGTGAGTAGCTATTTTTCCTAGCAGGAACCTGGCCAGATTTGAACTGTCATTCTGTGACAGGGTTTGCTCGGGCATGAGGAGGTTGTTTTAGAAATCTGTACTCTACATGGGGTGATGGAGTTGTGTTGCATAGCATGGGATGGGTGGTGGGTCAGGGTGTGGGATGGCAACCCTTGGTAGAGATATTGCAGAGTCTGTGTCTTGGTACATTCACGATGAGGGCAATGTGTTGAACCCAAAACCCAAAGCCATCTCCTGGCAGCTGATTCCCATTTCCAGCAGCAGGTGATGTCTACTGACAATAAGGGTGTGGGTTGGAAGATCCTTTCTCTGCTTGAATTGTTTGCAGAGATGTTCTGCTGTTAGTGTAACCAACCTCCCCTGAAGCCCTGGGAGGCAACATGTTCCCCGGCACTGGGAATGGCTTAATCACCAGCAGAAATTAGTGCTTTGGCAACTAATGTGAGGTGGGCTAGGTCTTAAGCAGCATGGATTTAATATAAAAACTCTCCCTTGAGTCATAAGGATGGTTTCTCACTCTGAGGCCTGTTGTTGCTCTGAAGTGGCCCACAAGATGTGCTCATCCTGTTTGACAGCGAGCCAAAAAAATTTCCCTGGAGAGGAGCTAGACCCATGATAGTTCCACATCTAATGAGCTAAAAGTGTCTCATACCGAGGTATGTGAAGAAATCTGTGAGCTTTTTAAAGCAAGAGAGTGCTTTGAAAGTCCTGACATAGGGATGTTTCCTGTGCTGGGCCTTACGCTGCTTTGCAAAAACAAAAAGCTCCTCCAGAAGCTGAAGCATGGCCCTTTCAGAGGATGTGGTGCAACTCCTTGGCTGTTGCTCACTTAATTATTGTTTGTGGGGGGTTGTACTGGCCGTGGTAGGTACCTCTGAGCAGAACGCTAATCCTGCTCAGCCTATGCTAAGAAATATTCCTGTTGGCATTGGCAGGGTCACTCCCAAAGATTCACCTCCAGGAGTCACGCCCTGGTCTCTTGAAATCTCTTTGTCAGAGAAGAA